GCTCTTCTTACCCCAGAAAATTCTTCTTAAAGTGATCTGAAGTCATAATGAATGAAGAAACCACGGAAGAAAGAAATAATAAGCAAAAAATTCAAATCTGAGTGAATTCTAAAAATGATATTCACAATATTTGTCTATATGCAAAAATATAGTTTTTATTACATTTTTTCATTAAAAATGCATGAAATGTATATAAATATTGACTGTAAGAAAACAGCATCAGTAGCTGACAATCAACGTTTGAAGACTATTAGAGTTGGATGCCAAGAAGCATTCAAAGTCTACCCCCAAATGCAGCCCATACTTTCCAAACATAGATTTCACAATATCCACATTCTCTCTACTTATGTGGCTCTTTAGTCAAACACACACACACACACACATACACCCCTACAATGGCACTGGAAATACACACGCTGTGTAGGAAATGGACTGAGTCCCCAAAAGCTCCCTCTTGCTTCTCTGTTAGCATCACATGATGGCTCAGGCCATGCATTTACTTAGAAGTGAAGATGATGCCAGAGAGGCACTGGCCTCCTCCAGTCTCATTAGCTTATCGTGTGAGCCTCGTCCTCCTTTCCCATCCCTTATACACCATTCATGTCACAACCATGTATCTGAGGTAGCAGGTAGACCCACCTGAGAGGTGAGTTAAAAGGTGTTCTTTTCGATGGGCCAAAATGCTCTTGGCCACATGAGTGTAGACAGCTGGTAGCAGAGGCTTTTCCATGCCTCTGCATCTTCACATGGCAGCCTAGAGTTTTCTGTTCTTCAGTCATATTCCTCCTCTCATCTGCCTCATGGCCCTTAGCTGGGATGAGGAGCTGCAGACCTGCTGGACCCTGTGGTCTCAAGGTCCTCTAGATTCATGTCTTCTTACTTGACCTCCAATAGGCTTAAAAAGACCCTCATTCGAGACAATATTCTCAGTGTCTCTAGCAAGGAACTGTAATGGAGAGAATCCCAAAGTGCTTTTCTTAGAGTTTATATAGGCCAAAAAATGTCCTAGATTCCTCAAAATTGACCAGAGAGAGCTCAGACACATTGACATACAAATGGTCGGCACTGGTGAGATTGAACACTGCCCCCAGGTAGCTGCTACGGGCCCACATCCGCCCGGCAGTACAGTAGTTCATCATCTTCCCCTCCATCATCACCAGATCCTGGGGATACCTAGCGTTCCTCATGTAGACTTTGTGGCTCAGGGGCTGGTTGTTGCAGGATTGACCCCGGAAGTACACTTTGGAATACACAAAGTACAGCCCCGTGTCATTGATCACGAGGGCACCCTTCTTATACTTCACTCCAGAGATCATAGAAATTCCATAGGTGTCTTCCCATTCCAGAGGCATGGACCTTGAGTTGGGCTTGCCTGAAATAAATCAGAGAGGAGCTTTCACCCAGGAATGCTCACGCATTGCATTCGACAAACTAAGTTTCTAAGGCAAAACTCTGGACCCTTCCTTGAACAAATGTTCTACTCAGAATATCACAGCCCATATAGCACTGGCTGAGGGATCAGAACCCAACCCATCACTGAATTCCTTCAACACCTTTGCCAAATTACATGCCTCAATTTTATCATCCACACAACTGGAACAATAATATATGCCCCTAATCAATCACAGTGAGAAATTATTGAAATAATTTTCACTCTCTGGAACAAAGATTTTATAGTTCTCAGAACTAGCACCAAAACTGCTAGGTTTTGAGGTCCCTCCATGCAGGGAAAACCCAAATCCAAGGAACTCTAGAGTTCCCCAGTTGGGAAGCATCTTAGAGATCATCTGGTCCATCTTCTCATCTACCATTGGGATTCTTCAGCCCTGAATTTGGGCTAAAATCCCCTTCCCATTTGGTCCCCACAGTGTTATGTGCACACTGAATCAGAGAGCTCTGCAGGACTGAAATCACCACCACGTGCCTGTCTTTTCCTATCAGATTTCAAGTTCTTTGGAGACAGGAACTATGTAGTGCTCATTTCTGTGTCTCTAGATCTTGACACACAGCAGGTGCTCAACGGGTGCCTGCCGATCTGGCTGGATCATTCTACAGTTTCTCCTAAATAATTCCAGGGACAGCGGCACCCCACTTTCTATGATATTTTCCACTTCCCAGTTATTTCTGTAGTTTACAGCGGGAGCACCACTACCATATTGCTAGCAAACCATTTCACTCCACTCTACGACCACATGCTGACAGCCCTCGAGTGCCAGGACTGAGTCTCCCTTCTCACTCCTATTTCTACTTCTGGACAAAGCAGAGTGAAGCTCTTCCAAAAAACCAAAGCAGCACTGACTAAGATGGTTCCTCATTCCCCACCCTTTCAGCTCTAACCTCCTGGACCTGTGCCCCAAATCCCCTGCAGGTCCTTGGAACAATTGGAGAGAGTTTCTTATGTGCGGGGATCATGTTGCAATCAGCTCCAGATCTCCAGTTTTAGAAGAGGGCCTTGCCCAGAGTAGGGGCTCAAGATATGTCTATAAGATTAGCCTGACTATAAAGATGTGAGTATTCTTGGGTTCCAAATATTGTCGCTGGAAAGTTACAACTCCCTCAGAGCCTGGTAATGGAAAATAACCAGCCAGCCATTCTGCCCTTTGCCAAAGCCTTCCCAGCCCCCACCTGTACCATCTACATACAGACCTGTTAAATGGGCCACTTTCCTTGGCTCCTTTTTTTCAGAAGGTGGACTGGGGCTGCCTATATCATGGAAAGATGAAAAATAAATGTAAAAATGAGATAGCAACTATTATTTTGGTGGGACTCTAAATTCCACCATTAAAAAAATATATTTTAAA